TCTGGGACTTTAGAATTCAAACAGACAAACACCTGCCACACAACACCCCAGACTTAACAATGTTGATACAAAAGACAAAAAAGTCTGGATAGTGGATATTGTAATACCTGGAGACAGCAGAACAGAAGAGAAAGAACTGGAGAAAAATCACACAATATAAAAACCTGCAAATAGAAATAGAATGACTATGGCAAAAGAAAGCAAAGATAGTAACAACAATAACAGGCACCTTGTGTGCAATCCCAAAACATCTGGAGCACCACTTGAAGACCATCAGCATTGACAAAATCACCATCAGTCAATTGCAAAAGGCAGCTTTACTTGGAACAGCTTACATCCTGCAATGATACCTTTAATACCATCAGACAACAACATCTGCCTATCTCAGGTCCTTGGGAAGGACTTGATAGGTGGATAAAAATGCTATACCCAGTCTAAACATCTGGTTGACTATGCAACCAATAATAATAAATGATTTGGCCAAAAAGCAGTTTGAAGATTTTATAGTCAAGCCATGATTTTGTACTGGTGGATCGCAGAGAAAGACAGAACTAAGAAAATGAGACATGTTTATGAATAATGAAAAAATGCATAATTGGCACAAATTCCTGGAAAGAAATGGAGCAGTTACTAAATTTCAGAAGAGCATATCAGCTTCCCCATCCTGGTGCCCTCTGTCCATCCTGCATTGTAATTCCAAGTCTGGGCATTGATCAGTCTGTCGGGCAATTACAAAAGCTGTAGTCGATCATATCTGGATGACACCACAATAGAGAGAGAGAAGTCTAGTTTAGAGCTTATGAGAGCCAGTATGGTACAGTGGTTAAGATGTTGAACTTGGATTAGGGAGATGAGTGGTATCTTTCTTAGACCAACTTACCCCACACTCTTGTTGTTGTAGGAAAAACTGGAGGAGGGGATGCTATGTCTGCCACTTGAGCCCCTGAAGGAAAGACAGACCATAAATTAAATAAATAAATAAATTTAAAAGGCACCCATTGTAATCTAAATGGAGAATCCGTGTGGTATCCATGTACATATGATATTACTGCCATAGTGCACCTATGGCCTTTTATTGAACAAGAAAGGCTCTTTAAAATATATTTGTATTTTTATATTTATGGATACTTTACTAAGAAAGGACAATGCTGTAACCTCAAAAGTATATAACATGCTAAACCACGTGCATCATGTGCCATTGACTGGCATTTTAATAATGAAATTTACTTCTACCTCATAATGGCCCTGTTCCTTTAGGTTAGCGAGGGTGTTAATAGCAGAAAACAGGTATGCTGATCAGTCAACTAAACCCAGAGAGTTAAATTTAGCCAGGTCAGTCATGTTATGGGAACAGCTAAATCTAGTCAATGCTGTTCTCCAAGAGAAGGAGGTGGAGAGAAAGAATGGCTGAAAATATAGGACTCGCTATTACAGACCTAATTGCTGAAGCCTGGTAGAACAGAATTTGCCATTCCACTAATTAGCTATAGCAGTGTTTCTCCATCTCAGCAACTTTAAGATGTGTGGACTTCAACTCCCAGAATTCCCCAGCCAGCATGGCTGGCTGGAGAATTCTGGAAATTGAAGTCCACATGCTTTAAGTTGCTGAGGTAGAGAAACACTGAACTATAGTGTCTACTAGAGTCAGCCTGCCCATCTGAGAAGAAGCTAGTGATGTTTAGCAGTATTCTTTCAGTATAAAGATTTGTGGGATGTAAGCAGCTCCTGGAGGAATTAGGTGGAGTTTCTGTTTGCCAAATGGTGATGGATGATTTCCAGAAAAACCAAGAAGGTCGTTTGATTTGGTTAGGTGAGTTGTTGGAAGAGAGCCAGCAGTCATTAACACAGTCAGAAACTGATAAAACTGCTATTTAGAGAAGCATTATATCCAAAAAATAAATACCATCATTGTTTTCCTGTTTTTTATAAAACACATTTCTGAGGCCCTCCAACTCCAGAACAACTCTGGGCAGCTGAAAATTTAAAAAGGAAGAAACAATGTCAAGAAAGATGAGCTGCCCAGAGAGGAACGATAAGAACCCTCTTTACCATACGACACACAACCTAAAGGGGCCCAACTCCCATCCTAGCCCAAGGCCTGGAGAAAGAACCAAGTTTTTAAGACTTGTTTAAAGGTGGGCCAGGTACAGGGCTCTTTGAATCTCTGGGGATTTTATTCCAGAAGGCAGGTGCTGTGACAGAGAAGACACATTCATGGGTGCCACTAGATGGCACTGTTTACTCAATGGGAACCTGTCTCATCATTAGGGATGGGCAGAAACCATGGGAAACAGGTGGCCCCTCAGCTTATTAGGTCTTCTGCCATGTGTTTTATTTTTTATTTTTTTATTTATCATATTTATATAGCTGCCCATCTCACACAAGGTGACTCTGGGCAGTGTACAACAATTTAAAAAATAAATACGTAAACAACAACTACATATAAAAAAACCATAAAAAGTCCCATGTAGGGCTTTGTGGGTGATAACCATCATCATGAATTGCACCCAAAAGCCTCTTAGTAAACAGGGCAGCTCGTGGAGCAGTGGTATTACGAAAGCACAATGAGAGTCGCTCATAACAGCTGACCATATCCTCCACCACCAAAAATGGACCAGTCATTGGCACAAAACCCTCCAGTAAAGTATTCCTTTTCCCTCTTCCACTCTATTCTCTACCCAACCCTTAAAACCTTATAACCATTGGCCTCCCATTAACACATACACTCCCTCCAGGTGCTATATTGTGACATACTCTCAAATTGTCATTGATGCTAACCAGTCCTATTACAAATGTACAGGCTGAACAGGAATAACAGAGGTGCAGGAACAAACATTTATTTATTTAAGCATTTATAGGCCACCCTACTCAAACAAAAAGGAAAAAATCACCAATGCAGAAGAAGACAACACAAACACAAACCACTTAAGCATACTAAGATAATGAAATATAAGGTGACTTCATATTTACACCCCCCAAAAAAATGTTCTGTTCCTGAAATTATCAGTGTCCCAGGATGATTTATATTTTATTCCCAGCTGTTCATGAAAAGCCAACGATTTTGTCAAGCCAAAAGAAGCTACTTAGAGAACACTAGCAGAGATGGGTGTAGAAATATAAATCAGTTTCATCAACAGTGGGAGGAGCTGTTTCAATTCTTTTCAGAAAGCAGAAGAAGCAGCACAAAGTTGAGATCATTCACAAAGGCAGCTACAATTTGAGTGAACATCAGTGGTCTGAAGTTTTTGCCATACAAGGGTATGTACATCTGTTTTTCTTTCGGTAGATTGTTAAATGTGAAACTTTCCTAAATCCTTCTTACAGTTGTTCCCCTTTGCTCCTCTTTAAAACTTTTGCCTGTTCCCTGTTTTGCAAAAACAGGTTTTTATTGTTAAATACAGTAATTAATTAGATGAATTGCCCCTGGCACAACAGATTTACCATTTGTATATAACAGATTTATATGTGTATCTGGTTTTGACTGTACTGGAATAAGTGCTTTCAAGGCAGATTAGAAGAATGTAAAAAACACATGGAGCAAGAGTGGATACAATGAGACCTCTTTTTTTTTTTTTAAGTTGTAAATTATAAGTGAATCTTTTCTAACTTGGTGCTCTCCAGAAGGGTTGGAATCAGCTGCTGTAGTTCTCCTAGACAGCATGATTAGTTTGCTCTGTGTTTGCTTGAATATTCGCTTTGCTCCGCTATTTTGAAGCACAACTGAATAAAACGCACTATTGCCATGGTGGCTGGAAATTATGGGAATTACACTTGGACAACTCTAAGTTAGGAAGGCTGTTAGAAGCTAAGTATTGCTCAGTAAGTTGAAATTTTTTTTTTTTTTTTTTTTTGCTGGGCGGGAGGTTGGTAATGGTACAAGCAGTTGTAGAGGGATATTATTTATGTTGAGGATGATAGTAGGAGCTTGCTAGTCAGGACCTATACATGGAAGTTATGCCCTCAGTCAAGATGAGAATTGCTTGTAGTAACATGATTATCTTTTGTTGTTTTCAGTTCTTTTAAAAAATAAACAAGAGAAAAGAAAACCAGAAAGGTGAAGCAAATGTATGCTAGCAACAGAATTAAAAGCTGGTCCTATATAACAAAATGAAATGGAGCCTGTTTCAGAAAAAGTTGCTAGATGAAACCACCATTATGAAGAGGGTAATATAATAGAAACAGCCAGTATCAATTTCCCTAGAACAAGGGGAAATGGTTTGGTTCCTCCCAGATGATTTGGACTTCAGCTCTCATCAATGTTGAAGGCATGGCAGCCGAATGGGTGGTTGGCCTGCACCGGGTGAAGGATCAGGCTTTAAGGAAATTAGAGGATTTGCACCAGGGGGTGTTTAGGCAACTCATAAATGAAGTCTTAGCAAAATGTAATGATCTGCCACCCGCTGATCCCAAATCCAGTAACTTTCCTTGCAACCAGTATTGATTCAAAAGAAAGTTCATTTATTGAGAACACGTGTACAGTTCCAAAGCATTGCTATGACTGAGCCTGAGCGCGCCAAAAGTTGTTTTTCTTACTTTTCCCTCCTTCACCCCCCTTGGCCTGGACTAAGGAGTGCCAGGAAGCATTTCAAGGTTTAAAGCAGATGTTTACGACTGAACCGATCTTAAAGCACCGTGATCCAGAACAGCCATTTGTCATCCAGGCAGATACTTTGGATGTGGCGGTGGGAGCTGTGCTGTTGCAGAAAGGAGGAGCGGGGGAGCTATTTCCATGTGCGTACATATCCCGGAAATTTTCGGAAACAGAAAGATGCTGGTTGGTGTGGGAAAAGGAGGCAAAGAATTGTGGGACTTGTAGTCCAAAATATCCAGAGGATACCACATGCTTGCCCATCTTAGAGCAATGGCCTTGATGTAGAAAATATGGAAATTAGATTGGGCTACAATCCAATTGCCTGTTTACTAAGAAGGAAGTCTTTCTGAACTCATTCAGACTTCCCTCTTAGTAAACAAACAGAATATTGTATGATTGCATAATGTAAACCACATTTTGACTTAGTGGGATGTATGAATCCAATTATTGATATTTGTATCCTAATGTAGCACACTGTAATCTGGAGCTTAAAAAAATGCAAACAAGTTGCCTGGCTTCTGCTCTGAGTCATGAGAGACTTGGCTACTACATTTCATAACTCATAATCCCCCTTCACTGAAGCTGACGTATTCAGTTCCTGTTCTAGTATATTGTTTGCTAGGTATTTTGGGGCATTATTTCCAGCAGAAATTATGACACATACCAAGATAAACATGAGATGTAAGGGACTTTAAAAAAAAAAAAATCACATTCACTTTTGTTGTTGTTCAGTCGTTAAGTCGTTTTTGACTCTTCGTGACCCCATGAACCATATTGCGCCAGGCCCTCCTGTCCTTCACTGCCTCCCTGAGTTTGCTCAGTTTCATGCTCAACATATTCACTAGAATGAAGCAAAGAGGCTCAAATCCACTCTAGTCATTCTAATTTCTTTGAATTAGCAATATGAATATGAGATCATAAAATCTCCATGAACTGCAAGTATTTCCTCCTTTGCAAAATTACTAATGCAATACTATGGTCTTAGTTCATGAAAAGAATGGGCTCGGGTAAACAAGCTAGCTGGATGCAGTTGCTAGAGAGCAAGGAAAGAGGCACCAACTCATCTACAGAAGTAGAAGGTTGGAGAAGAAAACTAGAGCTTGTTTCTATTCCATCAGATCATTACTCTGAGCTGCAAAGAACATAATATTTGACAAAAAGAACTTAAGTATAAAAACTTAATTTTCTTGGGGAGAAAATAGGGTGTCTTGTTATTGTTATTATACTGGCAGCTCTTTGAGAGAGAATAAGAAAGCTTAAGATTGGCACATAATCAATAGGAAGACAATTTCAGCTAAAAGAATCATTTCTATTTTAACAAACTTTTAACAATTTTATATTGGAACTGTTAACATGGCATCAACCAATTAACCCATTTTGTAACTCAATTTATGGATACCCTGACTAGTATCCATCCTAAACCAGGAAAAAACTGTTTTACTATATGCACGTAAATGTTCTGGTTTGATATCAATCATTTGATAATAGCTGCACATCAAACTCATATCAAAGATCTAGAACAACTACCAAAAGTTATCCTTAACCACCCAATAGAGATGTACCCAAATATGTGCCATAATGTCAGGTTAGAATTGTGGACTGAAAATAAAAGATGTTGCCATTGGGCGCACATCATGCTGAGGTTGGCGTAAATGTCAATTGGCTGGCTTCGATATCTTTCATATTTGGTGAGCCTTATGTTTTGCAGAAACTTTTTAAAAAAAATTTCAGAGCAGTTCTAAGGAGTTGGGCAGCCCACCGAGCATTGTATACCATCAGTGGCCACAACGGTCTCAGGAGGAATGGAACAGAGTGAGTTTGTGATGCTAATGGGTCTGAAGAGTAACCCTTCATTTATCCTGAGCAGCAATACAGGATGTCAAGGAACAAAAAATGATTTCTGTAAGAGATTCTGCCAGCTGAGCTCTTACAGCCAGATGAGAAAGTGATGGGAATAAGAGGATTAGCATCCTGGGGTTCTATGGGACTTTGACTCAAGACAAAAATAATAAGTGTTTTGTTTTGATTTTTGCCATAAATCTATTCTTCCTGAGAAAAGACATGTTGCAATTGGAAAATGTAAAGTTTCTTTTCTTGCTCTGTATTTACCTGTTTGCTCTATTTTGCATTTCTTGTGGAAGTAATTTGTTAACTTTTCCTTTCTATTTCACCAGGAAACACTTGCTTCATTTTTCTTTGATCCACATTAAAAAGGATCAAAATTCTTCCTGTTCCCAGAAAATGAAATGGAATAGGGTTCTTCAAAAGAAAAAAATAATATCCCTTTAATTTCACTGTAGTTCTTCCCACCCCCACCTTCATCATCACCCCATCTTGTCATAAAGTTGGTCATTCAGTTCAGCTTGCCTTAAGAAGGCTAGGAAAACCAGTTGCAGTGGAGAATTTGATGCTGTAATTTCCCCACTGTTCACTTGGTTCCCTTATTTGAGACTAAGGTTCAGTTCTTGGCTTCTCCAGGTAAAGTTGGAAAACCTTCTGCTTGAAACTGTGGACAACTACTTCCAGCCAGTGTCAAAAATTCTGGACTAGATGGATCAATAATTGAATGCTAAGCAAGGCAGCTTTCTAAGGACACTGAAAATATATTAATATTTTTGCGTTTATATTGAATATTCAAAAACAACAAAAAAGTATAAAGCTTTCTTTTCTTTGCACAGTCAAAGCCATTGTTAAAAAGAAAGAAAAAACTCAAGATGAAGCTGGTGTTGTTCTCTGTTAGGATCAATTTTCTTTGCTCTTCTTTTTTTTGGTAATAATTTTTATTAAAGTTTACAAGTACAAAGATAAAAGACTAATACAAACTAAGAAAAATCTAAAACATGAAGAAAAGAGAAAGAAAAGTGCAAAGAGAGAAAAAAGAAAAGGAAAAAGGAAAAAATAAGAAACATATATATATAAAAGAATGACTTCCCCTCCCTCCAGACAAATATAAAAAACTTCAGTAACTTAACATCTTCTCTAGTGTTTCAATTTTAAAAAAAATCTCTTCTTCCCATATCTCACCTCTTATCAATAAACAAATTGTAAAAACTCATCATTCAGTCCTTTTCAGCAAAAGTCCATTAAGAGCTACCAGAAATCATAACATACATATTTTAATCAAATAAATCTATTTTGTATTCTAACTTATCACTTTCTCCGAGGAATAAAGCAAAAGAAATCTCTCTCCATTTATAAACAAATCCTTAAAGCCTGGTCATTCAGTCCTGGTCAACAGAAAATTCCATTAATAGCTACCAGAAACCACAATATATATACAGTATATATTAACCCTGATCAAATACACTTTATAGTCCTTCCGTTTACTTTTAAAAAGTTTGGTCTTTAATCCTGTCAAATAATATCCCACAAGTTGATTTCTTATAATTTTCTCTTTGTCTCCTCTCAGGAACAACTTCAGTAGTTTAACACGTCCCTTTTGAACATCCAAGATAAGTAGGCTATCCATGTCATTCTTCTGACTTATTATTTGTATGTCCCCTTTAGTTATTAAAACATCAGCCAGTTTCATTTGTAAATCCATTGTGGCATCTTTTTCCATGTCACTCTTGTAGTCTGTCATTTTTAAATCTGTTTTCAAATCCACATAATCTTTTTTCATATCATTCTTGTAGTCTGGCATTTTTTTAAAATCCATTTTCAAATC